AAGCTGGTTTCTGGGGTTTTGTTTAGCTTCTATATTTGTTACAATGTTCAAACTGCAGGCTCAGAGGCCGGCAAGGCAGGCGGGGAACGTTGCAATCCTTCGTCACTGAAGCAAGCAAGCCTCATGTTCAGTTTAAGCTGCCTGGCTGCCGGCCGCCATCTTGGCTGGCAGTTAATTTGCATATCACCCTGATTAGCCAATGGGAAGGGTAACGGTCGTACGCCAATTACCATGTTTCTCTTTTATTAGATAGGATATGCTCAACAACAGTGTAAGTTCACAAACACTGCTTATTACCCTTTTTGGTGGTGGTGGTGGTGGGGGGGATTGAAATGGTACTGTACTATTTCTTTTAAAAATTATCTGATTAGTGAGGTTTTCTATACATTTAATGGCCATTTGTATGTCTTCTTTTCTGAATTATTTTCATGTCTTTTGTGTGGTTTTGAAATTGGGGTATTTGTCTAGTTAAGCTTAATTCTGAGAGATTTTATAGTCTGAAACACTACAGCTAGTTTTCTTCCTTCGAGGACCTATTGAGCCCTGATTACGTGCCAGTTCTGTTCTAAGTACTGGATGTGTAGTGGCCAAAGAACAAGGTTTCTGGCCTCACTGAATTTACACTCTAGAGCAGTGGTTCTCAACCTTCCTAACGCCGTGACCCTTTAATACAGTTCCTCATGTTGTGGTGACCCCCAACCATAAAATTATTTTTGTTGCTACTTCATAACGGTAATTTTGCTACTGCTATGAATTGTAATGTAAATATCTGATATGCAGGATGTATTTTCATTGTCACAAACTGAACATAATTAAAGCATAGTGATTAATCACAAAAACAATATGTAATTATATATTTGTTTTTCCGATGGTCTTAGGCAACCCCTGTGAAAGGGTCATTCGACCCCCAAAGGGGTCGCGACCCACAAGTTGGCGACCCACAGGTTGAGAACCGCTGCTCTAGGGGGTGAGCATATAGAAACAATTAAACAAGATAATCTCTGATCTCTAATAATTAAACAAGATAAACAAGATAAACAATAAACTTGCTATTACATGCACTGACCACCAGGAGGCAGTCGACTGGTCGACCAGTTGTTATGACTTGCATTGACCACCAGAGCCAGACAGTCGACCGGTCGACCAGTCACTATGACAGCCATGGGCAAACTACAGCCCGCGGGCCGGATCCGGCCCGTTTGAAATGAATAAAACTAAAAAAAAAAAGACCGTACCCTTTTATGTAATGATGTTTACTTTGAATTTATATTAGTTCACACAAACACTCCATCCATGCTTTTGTTCCGGCCCTCTGGTCCAGTTTAAGAACCCATTGTGGCCCTCGAGTCAAAAAGTTTGCCCACCCCTGCGACTATGATGTGCACTGACCACCAGGGGGCAGATGCTCCAACTGGTAGGTTAGCTTGCTGCTGGGGTCCGGCTGCTGGGGACTGAGTGAGACGGGTCAGACATACCCGGGAGCCCTCCTGTGGCTCCTCCCCAGCTGGCTAATCTCCCACATCCCTCCCCAGCCCCAATCGTGCACCGGTGGGGTCCCTCAGCCTGGCCTGCGCCCTCTCACAATCCAGGAACCCTCAGGGGATGTTGGAGACCCGGTTTCATCCTGATCATGCAGGCCAGGCCGAGGGACCCCACAAATTCGTGCACCGGGCCTCTAGTTATAAGATAAAAAACAGTTATTGGTTGACTTATAAAAATCCATTACACCATGGTCAAAGTAGTAAAATTTTCACCCATTCTAGATTTTTAAATGATGATCACTAAGGTACAATGCTTCTTACCTAACATCAATGTCTAAGTTTTCTTGTTTAGACTGTTTTATACCCTCAAGTACAGATTCCACATAAGTTTTTTTAGTCATTCCTGGAAAGGACACAAAGAACATGTAAAGAGATTATCAACTATTTAATCCTTCAACATTAGTATCCCTATGTGAACAAATTACATTTTCACTTTATGTTGTGACAAAAGCATGGCTAAAAGTGAATTAAAACACAGCCCTATGGATGTATTTTAGTAAATACTAATTGAACTTTAATAAATTTGGAAAAATAATTAAGTACTATAAAAAATAAAATGAAAATGAGACTAAAAAGAATTCTTAGATTCAACAGACATAAAATTAGTCTCACAAATTGTTATGAAAAATTTTTAATGTTTTAACAAAACAAGAACAACAACAAGCCCTTTTCTAAAGCCTCTCTTTGGGTGCTTAAATTCTCCTCTTCTGGGGAGCTCTAGAACACTCTCCAGAACAACCTCCTCTGAAATACTATTGTGCCCCAATTCTAAAATGCTTACTTTTGGTGGAAAATCTCTAGTAAAGCACAGGAAATTATAAAGAAGAAAAATAAAACTAACATATAATCCCACCACTCGAAGATAACTACTGTCTTTGTTTTTCTAAGCATACATACATATTTATGTATACTAGAGGCCCAATGCATGAAATTCGTGCAAGAGTAGGCCTTCCTTTCCCCGGCTGCTGGCATCGGCTTCCCTCTGGCACCTGGGACCTGGGCTTCCCTCTGGCCCCGACTTCGTCCGGAAGGACATCTGGTCTAATTAGCATATTACCCTTTTATTACTATAGATATACTAGAGGCCCAGTGCACGAATTCATGCACAGGTTGGGTCCAGCTGGCCCAGCCCAGGAGGTTGGCAGGCTGGCTCTGCCTCCTATTGGGGTGGGGGGCAATCAGGGACAGGGCTCACCTGGGGGGGAAGGGCTGTGGGCTGATCGGGGTGGTGGGGACCCATTGGGAGAGGGGCCGGCTGCGGGGAAGGGCCATGGCTGCCCTGCCCTCGATCTGGTGGGAGAGGCTGATCAGGGGCGGGGGGAGGGGAGGGGCTGTGGGAGGTTGGCTGGCCGGCCCCACCCCCTGATCAGGGTGGGAGAGGCCAATCAGGGATGGGTTGGTTGGGGGAAGGGGCCGAGGGAGGTTGGCTGGCCGGCCCCACCCCTTGATTGGGCCAGTTCGTTGGCTGCAGTGGGCATCATAGCAACTGGTTGTTCTGGTTGTTACGGTGTTCTGGTCACTGGCTTTTTATATATATAGATTCTGAATAGGTGGGATGCTACTAAGTAAATATGTATTCTGTTCAGTCATTTAACACTATCTTCTGAGCATATCTCCAGTCATTAAAGTGTATTTTAAACTATTTTTATTGTTGCCTACCATTCCATTAATCTTTATTTAACAATTCCCCTATTGTTACATACTTAGGTTAAAACCTCTCTTTTGAATCTCCATTCAAAGAGCAAGCTTGCTCTAATAATTGGTAGGTTTTTTTCTATCCTTTTCTTTCATTACCCTCACCAGCATAACTTAGAACTGATTCTGCAGTTAAAAAATGCAAGATAGGTCTCTTCTGCTTGCCCCAGCTGTCAACTCTTACTTTACTATATGTAGTTGAAAAAATTTTACCCCCTGAATGGTGACTGGGCTATACATGTCAGGGTGCAAGACGACCTGGTAGGATCACAAAATGCTAAGAGGGACCCAAAGATACCACATAATATCTCCTGATGTTACTCTTATGGAATTTTCTCCAGACCACATCCAGATCTGCTCATCTCCATCCAGAGGGGTTTTACCACATCACAGCTTGCTCCTAGCCAAGGACACTATTAGTCCCTGAGAAGTGAATGAACAACCTCATTTCAGTGATTGTTACAAAACATGATTCTGCATCTACTCGGTGACACTGTTTCACAAGTGCTCTTGATGCAGGCAGCAAGAATTAGCCTGTTTAAGACAATGCAACTAGAAGAAGCAAATGTCCTTTTCTCAGAGTGAGAAAAACAAACAAGAAAAACAAATAAGCCCTAGCCAGTTTCGCTCAGTGGATAGAGTGTCAGCCTTCAGACTAAATGGTGCTGGGTTTGATTCCGGTCAAGGCACATGCCCAGGTTGTGGGCTCTATCCCCAGTAGGGGACGTGCATGAGGCAGCTGATCAATGATTCTCTCTCATCATTGATGTTTCTCTCTCTCTCTCTCTCCCTCCCACTTCCTGTCTGAAATAAAAACAGAAAACCAGTCTTTTGTGACCTGATAATAAAAGCAATGAACATAATATTGATAATGTTGGTGTAAGGGTCCCAATGAAAGTGCCAAATGCTACTCTTTTATTTCACTCATTACATTTGATTTGGGAAACATGTTGGAAATCCTCCATGTGGTTAAGAATACCTGCTTTGCCCACCCCTGATGGAGACCATGACAGAACTGCAAAATTTCCATTATCTCCCATCACCCCTCATTTCCACATTAAATCCAAATCTGTACATCATTCACACTTTTTGTTTCTTTTCTCTCCTTTTAACCATTTTAACAATTTTTCTATTTCCTTGTGTTCATAACAGCAGTTTGATAAAACAGAGAAGGCAAAACTAAATCCAGTTAAAACCATCTATGAGTGTGTAGTACTAGATAGGAACATATGGAAATGAACAGCTAATATGATTAGACATTAATGATGTACAATTTAAAGTCATGGCTTAAGATTCTTATTCAAGATATTTAGGAATACGTTGTATTTTTCATAAAATTCTTTAGGCAGGGTTAAATTTCCCCCAGAAGTATATAGGAAAATTCTTCTTAGGCAAAGAAAGTGAGTGATAAATATGAGTCAAACTGTATCTGATTTAGTACAAATCTCAACAATCCAAAAATTACTAAATGACCAGGGCAAATGATATCGAAAGGCATGTCTCCATCTCTGCCATCAATCCTAAAAAATACCAAATTTAATAAAAAAGGACCAAGTTAGGGATACTGTGACAACATGCCCTAGTTAGTCCTTACAGTTGGTACCCTAATCTTTTTTTTAAATCCTCACTGGAGGATATATTTATTGATTTTAGAGAAAGGAAGGGGGAGAGAGAGGGGGGAAAGAGAGAAGAGAGAGCACACGAAACATATATGTGAGAAAGAAACATTGATCGATTGCCTCCCATACGCATCCTAACCAGGATCGGATCTGCAATCTACATATGTGCCCTGACCAGGAATCAAACCTGCAATCTTTTTGGTATATAGGACAATGCTCCAACCAACTGAGCCACCCAGCTGGGGCAATATCCTAATCCTAACCTGCTTTGACTATGTGTACATGAGCCGGCAAAAGGCAAAGGAACAGTGATTGACTGGTTGTGCAGATAGTGCCTAACAGGGGAAAGGAACTACCTTAGTGGATTCACTGCAATCCAAGGTCTGAGTCTCATCTTTTTCTTTTTTCAAATTAAAGCCAAAAATAAATTTATTATAATATAAATGTAATGGAGGTCTAGAGAATCAGCCTCAGAGACTATACACAACAGCATTCAAAAATCACAGGACACCCCTACACCAAGAGAGACACCACTGCTTCCTCCACCACCGAGCATGAGCCTGCAGTCTCTGCATACTAGACCCAGTGGCACTGCTTCTCTAGGAGCTCCACATTGCTGCTATTGTGGACCTCATCTCTGTAGGTTGAGGAACTTGCATCTTATCATTGATCCAGGCCCAGAGCTCCCAAGTCACTCTACCCCAGCTCCCTGGAGACTAATGCAGAAGCCTATTTGTTACTGTGTGCACTAACAATGAGTATGAAGTGGCAGTTCTTCTCAGTGGCTGAAGTGATCATATCTACTATCAAGGGTACCCCTCATCTTGGTGGTGAGATACCTGTGAAATCGAATGAATAATAGAAGGTTGCTGGCAAGTATAGCGTGAGAGCAAAGGAAGATTTATCTAGGCCACAGTGAGGCCTGTGGAATCATCCCTATCCCACGTCCAAGAATACTTCCTTGGGGTCCACAGCTCTGTCTGCCAGATTCAGCCCTGACTATAAATTCTTCAAGGGCAGGGACCATGTCAATCTGTCTTTATATCCCCCAGTTTCTAGTACTGGAACATGATGGGCATTCAGTCAACTTTTGTTGAACTAAAGTTTTAGATTCAACTCTTCTCCAAAAGGTGATTAATTTAGTGTTTATTGTGAGGATCAATCTTGGCCAAGGAGGAAAATTCTTTCTTGATCAATCAAAAGTTAGTTCTCCAGAAACACAGGTTATACTTCTTACTTTGCATTTTTCTAAATGACCAGGGTAAATGGTATCTAAAGGCTGAATGATTAAAAACACTGACAGGATTTTGTTTCTCTTCATTTACAAAAAGGTCATTTTTATTTTTATTCTTTTAAATATATTTTTATTGATTTCAGAGAAGGAGAGAGAAATTAGAAACATCAATGATAAGAGAGAATCATTGACTGGCTGCCTCCTGAGCACTGTGCCTACACTGGGGATTGAGCCCGCAACCCAGGCATGTGCCCTGACTGGGAATTGAACCATGACTTCCTAGTTCATAGATCGATGCTGAACCACTGAGCCACATGAGCTGAGCAAAGAGGACATTTTAAATGCCATCCTAGTCAGATCAATGATACAGAAACCAGTCTTCCATAACATGGAAACTATTACTATCCTGGAGCTTCAGATAAGAGAACACAGAGGTGTTCTTTAGTCCTACATTCCCAGAGGAAAGGTACAATTGTGCTAGGAATTAATAATTCAATTTCTAGGCACCTCTTGAACTTCTTCACTCTCTATAACATCCACCCAGGCAGTGAAAAATCTTCCAAGCAATAGGGATAAAACCTTTCTATCTATGGTCAAATATTATGAAAAACAAGACCATCATTTCTTACCATTAAAATATCTTCAGGGCTAGTAGTAAGCTGATGAATAATCTGAAACATCTGGAAACATCTATAACATGAATAAAAAGTTTTAAGATACTCTAGTCATCAAAAGCTCAAGATAAATTCAGTAAGCAATTAAATTAGATTTTAGTAATTATATAGGGTATTCTAAAAAATGTATACTCAGTGTGAATGATTATAGTGTTTATTAACATACAGTGCATTTTCAAAATTTAAAAGAATCTACAGAAATGAGTAATATTTTTTGTCAATATCTGTTTTCAAACTGATGACCGTTCTGGTCCAGGCACTGCTGATAACTCAAAGGAATGGAATCACAAACATCAAGAATAATATTGTTTGGTATTTGTGTGCCCTCAATTTTTTGTACCATAAACTTTATCTTTTATGTATCCCCATAAAAAAAGTTTAGTGGATAAATTTTCTTTGTTCAAAGCTTAGTCTGGCTCCATCTATTATTTCAAAATAGTTAAATCTAAAAAGTAATGAAAATTAAAGTATGAAAAAATCATACTTTGAAATATTATCAAGGCAGTGTTTGTACTTCAACTGCGTTTTCAAACTTCCAGTAGCATTTTAGGATGAACTTCCTTTGTTCAAAGCTTAGTCTGGCTGAAAAGAAAGAAACATCAATTGAGCTATCAGCTGTTAAAGTGTGTATACGTGTTCTTAGGACATCCTGTATATTTATAAAGAACTACAGAATAGGTTTTTTGAAAATTACATTGATCTAAAAAGACCAATGACTGAAAAGAAAACATTACTGATATTTTTAAGTGGAAAATACTAGTTTCCCTTCTCCACCACCATTCCCACCATCCCCCATTGGTAGGAGCAAATAGGAGAAAAGTCAGTAAGCCTATACTTTCCAGTCTAAAGAATATCCAGTATAGTACAACTTCACAAACAACATAAATCATTAAAAATATTGTCAACAGTCGGACAGCTAGAAAAATGCTGTACGTCAAGTTATACTCTCCATACCAGATGGCTACCCTATTACTTTGACTATTAAAACCTGAATTCTTACATACTATTTACAATCTCAAAATAGAGAGAGAAAAAAAGGAATGTGTCCACAATCTCCTCAAACTCACTCTTCTAAAGTTCTTTTCTTTCCTTTATCGATCATAGTCATTTGATCATGGATTTTGAGACCTGGTTTCTTAGCTATTAATTTCTTCATGGTATTACAACTAATGGATCCATTCAAGTGGGCATGAAGTTCCTAAAACAAAAGAATACAATCAGTAAAAACATATTAACTATCCACTAGATTCATAGCATCATACCATGTACTTGATGTTTGCAGTCTATAGTAGGCAAATTGCCTATGAGATTTAGCTATATAACTTTTAAAGTTTATAAATTATAACAGTAAAACTCACTTTTTTGTGTGAAAAGAAACAACACAGTCATTATAATTAGCAACCACTCTAGAATTCTCTGGTTGAATTCTCACCACTTTAGGTAGTTCTGAGAAAAAGGTTCTCTTCCATTGCTGCTGGTCTTCTGCTTCCATCATGACTTAGCAGAATAAAAAGGTCTTTCTCCAAACACTCTTATTGGTATGTACAATACCATGTAGTTCAGTCAGTAAATTTTGTGGTCTTGAATTTCCTTCAGATTGCTTTATTTCCACACATTTTTATAAAATTAGCTGAAATGTTGCTCAGGGTTTAGCTTTACCTATTGAAATAAATGTGAACATTTCAGATGTTGACATAAAAGCAAAGAAACAGGACTTTTGCGAATTTATTCTTCAAAAGACAAAAAGCCCCTCCAAAGCTAATGAGCTAACAATGTGAACTAGAAATAAGAAAAAGTAAGAGGTGGATTACAATCTGCAATTCAGTTGGGTGTATTCCTTACTTATTAGCATTTTCTATAAAACTACTTCTAAAAGTAGAAATCCAGAAAGCCTATTTTGGGTAAAAAACAGTTTATATTTTTAATTGTTTAAAATATATAAAGAGCAGAGGTGTTGGCTTCATTGGACTTGGTTAGTCCTTTTACTAGTTTTCACAGTTTAGTCAGTTAACCTCACAGCTTCAGTTTCCTTATTTGTAAAAAAGGGATAAAAGTGCAGAGTAGCTGTGAGGACTGAAATAGTAATTTAAATTCCCTTCTTGTATGCTCCCATAGAATCCAGTGATTACCTTTCACTCAGTGCTTTATCACACTTATCTCAATCACTGATTTACTTGTCTTCCTCACTAGATTATAAACTTCTAAGGACAAGGACTACGGCTAGAACCTAGCACATTACAGGTGATAAGTCCTAATTTGTCCTTCACCGCTGAAGGTGGCTTATCCTATATAATAAAAGGGTAATATGCAAATTGACCCTAACGGCAGAAGGACCAGAACGACCTCTTGACCAGTCACTATGAGGTGCACTGACTACCTCTCGGTTCCTTTCCCTGGCCAGCAGGTTCTGCTTGCCCAATGGTGAACGGGGAACCAGGGGTAGGTGGCGGGGGATGCAGGTGGCTCAGGCCAAGGCCCCCGCCCCACCAGTCGCCCCACACATATAGGGCAACCATGGTGGGGGTGGGGCTGGCGAGCAGGTGGGAATGGCTGACCTCTCAGTCCCGTCCCCTGGCTGTCAGGCTCTGATTGCCCGATGGCGAACAGGGAATCGGGGTGGGCTGGCAGCGGGGTGCGGGGCTGGCTGCAGGCAGCTGGGGAAGATGGCCCTGATCGCAGGCCAGGCCTAGGAACTGTACCCACACATGAATTTCGTGCACCAGGCCTCTAGTACATTAAGATAAAATTCCAGATGAAATTTAGTGGTTTTCAAAGTAGTCACCTTGACTCTCTGGGTTCTCACGTATTAATAATGATGACGTTGATAATAATAGCAGTTTCCATTAAGAGCCTACCAGATAAGCACTTTTAATAATATAATATTTAATCTCACCAATAACTTTGCAAAATAAACATTTTTTACCACATCACAAATCTCTAAATTGATACTGAGAGGGTAAATAAGTTACCAAGATATTAAAATGGGCAATAAAGAATATAGATTGTACAGGACTAGACAGAGCTATAGAAACCCACAGCAAGGCCAACTCAGCATGAGTTAAAAGTGGCATTTCAATGAATTTCCATATAGTAAGTGCTTAATAAATAGTAACAAATTTTAAAAAACGGACTATTTAATCAATATGTTTAATCTCTCTACTAAGGGACATAATAGATGTCGTTAAAATGGGAAAACATACTTTAGCTTACATAGGTAAAGTCAATTTGTCATAAATTGACTTATAAAGTAAATGTTAATAAAAATATTCTCAAAAGTATTCCTTAGAAATTGATTTTTAAAGTTCATAAAAGACTTAACTTGTAAAATTACCCAGAAAAAAATATTGTGAATCTCAGAAGAATAATACCTAATACTGCTGAAGGTCTAAGTAAAACCTCTGGTGTGAGCAGAGCTTGGTGTGATCTTTTTGGAAACCAAATTGGCTATATGTATCAACACACACACAACACATTTTTATCCAATAATTCTATTGTTAAGAATTTATCTTAAATCTTATAGGATATGTACAAATACATTTCTTATAGTACTATTTATAATAGCAAACATTGGAAACAACCTAAATGTCCATCAGTAGGTACTGACTAAATTAATTACACATATCCACTCAACTGAATATCTATGACTATATGGAAAGATTTCTAGGACATAGTGTTACTTCCAAAAAGTAAGTTGCAAAATACATGGTTTAGAAAGATGACATTTATGAATAAAGCATGTATGTACATATACACTCATACACATTCTCTCTCTTATTTATATCTTTATTCCTAAAATACACATGAAAGGGCACACAGAAAACTGTTACCACTAGATTGTGGGTTGGAGTTGGCAAAGGTCAGGGGAGAGAATTTTACTTTATTTACCTTATATAGTTTTGTGCAATTTTGAGGTTTTACAACAAGCATATAAAACTTGATTACTTTTTGAAATAATTTTAATAAATTAAAAATTTCAATACTTGTAATAAGTTTACTTAATAATTTTAATAAATTAACATTTAGAATACTTAACAAATTATTTAAAAGAATTGTTTATAAAATAATTAAATTATTTTTTTAATATTGCAAAATAGCTTCATTATTATGAATTGTGAGAGAGAACTTTCCTGTTCTGACAACAGTCTAAAAAAGCACTTAAGACATTTTATATAGCAGGCTGATAATGACCTACTCTAGGATCCTGACCTTATTTTGTGCCACATTCAAACCATTCTCCAGATTAACTTTTAAATAGTTGTGAGTAAATTTACTGACACACTGGCTACAATCCTATCTAATAAAAGAGAAACATGGTAATTGGCGTACGTCCCCTACCCTTCCCATTGGCTAATCAGCGAGATATTCAAATTAACTGCCAGCCAAGATGGCGGCCAGCAGCCAGGCAACTTGAAGCTAACATGAGGCTTGCTTGCTTCAGTGAGGGAGGACTCCAACGTTCCCCGCCTGCCTTGCCGGCCTCTGAGCCTGCAGTTTGAAACATTGTAACAAATATAGAAGCTAAACAAAACCCCAGAAACCTGCTTTCAGCTAGCTGGGATCTCAGAGCTGGAGTTGATACAGAGTTTCGATTATAGAACCGAAACAAACAAGATACCTGCTTTAAGGAGCGGAGGCCTAAGAGCTGGAGCCTCAGAGCTAAAGCTGGCCCAGAATAAAAAAAGAAAAAGAAAAAAAGGAGCGGTTGGGAGCTTCAGTCACCCCCAGCCTGAAAACAGCCCTCAGCCCCTCACCCAGACTGGCCAGGCACCCCAGTG